ACACCATAATCTGCCCACGTCTTGGGTCTGCCCACCAGTTAACCCCATATATCCCCTGATGAGGAAACGGAAATAGATTTCGCCAGGCCAGGACAGGCTGCAGGACTGTTTTGGGCGTATTTGCAGTCCGTGCCACCAATTTGAGTTAATTAAACCACGCAAATCCTAATGTGACCTAATTGGGTTTAGTTAGACCGGCTCCTAGAGACGGCCAGATGTCCCTGGAGAAGGAGAAGGAGCATAGAGACACCGAAGGAGAGATGGAGATGGAGCGAGCCTAAACACTTCGTTTGCACTTTAAGGGCTCCTCCTCCTTCATTTACACTCATTTGGAGCATTCATTCTGCTCGGTCCGAGTGCTTTGTGGCTCTTGCTTCGCTTTTGGCATACCCTTCCAAGGGGTCTGGCAAGTATCTGAAGGATATGAGGTAGGGATACCTCTAAAAGGGCATCTAAAGCCTCGCTCTTTCTTTTCTTGTTTCTCTTTTTCTTTTCTCTGGACTCTCGTTTTTTTTCTTCCTTTTTTGCCAGCGCTTTGCCTTTGCTTTTCCAGCGCTTTTCCTTTGCTTAGTTATGACCCTTTTGCTTGCTTGTTGCATGCCCCCAGTCGTGGCCCGGGCTTCAGCCTTCGCCGATTTTGAGTCGTGCCGTCTGCCACGACTGTCTCGTGTTCATCCTCATTTGGCGTTCTCCTTTTCGCCGCGCCCTAATCCTACAAGCAACTATAAGCCTTGGTAATTATCTGCAAAGTGACCATTAGGCGATTAGTTGATGCTGCCTCGCTGCCTCGCTCTGCTTTGCTGCCACCTCTGCACGATACCTCCCTCCAACTCCGCCCCCACTCTATCTATTTCTCTATCTGTACATGTCCGAGCTTCATGTGAAAGGCGAAATAATCGCTTTACATTGATGCCGCCAAGCCAGCAACAAGATTTGGGGACCCCAGAGCTGCTGGACACAAGTCAATCGAGGGGCGAGGCCGAGGAAATGCGATTATGCAGCGATTCCTCAAAACTCTTCCTCCTGTAATTACATATTTAAATACTTTTTGTAGAATTTCCCAATTAAAATTGCAGATAAATAAATATATATTTATATTTATATTTATATTTATATCGAATAAACAGATAGATATTACTGGATGTGGCCTATAATGAATCTGGTGGCCGATAACTTGGTTATTAGACGCAATTAGCAGTTCATTTCGGCTGTCAGCGAGGGTCAGTGAGCCACTGTTGGTTGCTGCCAGCCACTAATTAGGGCCAAAAACTAAAATATCAATTTTGCCCAAACCCAAATTTGGAACACGGACGCTCACCAGGATATGCAATTTTCGGTTAAATCAGTGCCCGAGAATTCGATTTCATTTACCATTTGCCAACATTTTCCGTTTTACATTTTCCATTTTTCGTTTTGAGTTTCAGGCCGAATATTCTTATGCGCGAAAAGCATTTACATAATAGCTGGATTTTATCGGGGATTCGTGGTTAAGGAATTCTTGAAAATTATTAAAAATTCGAATTTTAATTTATAAAAATTTTAATCATATATCCAGAATATTTTTTGAAAAGGCTTTAAAAGAGAAATATATAAATATTTATTTTATTTTTATTGAAAAAATCAAAAACGTTTTTTTTTAAATTTGTATAATAAAAAATCACAAATAAGTGGTATTTAAATAAAAGAAAATATTACAAAAATATTTGTAATTAAGTATTATTATGCATTTGAAATTAATTTGAATTTTTCATTCAAAAGTAAGTGGTATTTTTCATTTTAATGGAAAGAATAAAAAAATCAATATTAATTTTGTTAACAAAAAAGAACAACTTTTATTTAATTATTATTATGGATTTTTTTATACCAATTTAAAATAATTTAATAACACTAATTTTAAATTTGTATTGAAAGTCTTTTATTATTAATTATTACGTATTAATTATAATTATGGATTTTTTAATAAACATTTTTAAATTAAAACTTTATTTAATTTGTATTAAAAAAGTCTATAATTATAATTAAACAAATTGACTTTTTAATTAAAATTGGGATATGGAAAGTTTTATCTAGTATCGTTTTATTCTTCTTTTTTTTAAATTAGATTTTTAACTTACTGTTATTATTAGTAATAAATATTTTCTGATTTAGTTATTAACATATTTTTTTTTTAAATTGCATAAATTAAATAAACATATATTTAATAATACAATTATTTTTAAAATTTTTTGAAAATTTATAATCAAAAATAATTAGTTATAAAGTTTTTAATTTTTTATAAATGCAGCGAAAACAAACCGTAGCGACTAAAATATGAATTCCCGTAACATACCATATTTTTTGTTCGCATTGATTTAATTTGTTAAATTTTACATTTAAAACTTTTATTTGCGGTGCCTGCATAAAATATATCTTTTAGATATCTTCATTTGAGTAATTGGTGAATCTCTGGATTTTACCTTCCTCTAGCGCGTATCCTGTCTAATGCTATCCCATAACTTGAGTGTTCCGTGGCTTCAGTATAGAAAACTTTTCCACTCTTCCATTCAACGGCATTTCTTTGTCTCATTTTCATCTAATTTGCATTTCCTCCAACCCTCCGTTGCTTTGCATTTTGGGGAGTTCGTGGTGAAAATTATGATGAGTTTTCTTCGGGTGTGAGGGGGCAGGGGGGGGCTCCACATTTTCGCGTTACCCATTTTGCATTTTGCTTTATGAACTGCTGCATAGAGCGAAATGTTCTGCTGTCTTCTGTGTCCCTCTTTGGCGTCCTTCTGCGGCGTCTAAGTAGCTGACTTAGTATGTGATAATTTCGCTGGCCGATAGTTACATTTTCATGTTTTTCTCATAAACGTGGCCGAGAACATTGCGACAAAAAAAGCACAAAAAATAGACGAAACGGATTTCCATAAGCAGAGGGTTTTCTCGACCGCGATAGAGGGGGAGGGCGAAAAGGAGGGGGAGGAGGAAATGGCAGTCGAAGCACATGCGAAGCATTGAAAATTATTTACGATAACGATCGCATAATCATAATAATAATCACATTATAATAATTCTTGGCTTTATGTGGTCCGTTCTGGACGACCACGACGTGGCCTGCTCCAGCTCCAGCTCCAGCCCCTGGGGGACGTGTAATAGTTGCTAATAAAATGCAATGCCCATCGACAACGCAGGGGGGGAAGATTGTAAATTTCGCTGGGAGCCAGGAGGGGTGGTTGGGGGGTCAAAAAAAATGGCAACTGCATTGATGTTATTACCTGAGCCGACAACTATACGCCAAAGTCAATAAACCAAAATGACAGACAGCCACTGGGACAACGACAGCACAGACGTCCACGTCCCTACCCCCTGCACCACCCTACCCCCCCACGCCACTGCATTGAGGGGAGAGAGAGACCTCACCCGCCTAGGGTATCAAACGATTCGGTGCCCGGGGCCCGGGGCCCGGGTCTTGGTCGTTTTTTCTCTCTTTCTCTTCTGCAAACAAATTATTGTTATGCTTTTGGCTTTTGCGCATAATTCTGCAGTTTTCTGTTCTTGTTTGTTGTTGGGGAAGCTATTTGGAGTATGTTACTCATACGCCACGTTGCCAGCCCTGCCCTCTGTGTGGCAGGAACTTTAGCATGCACTTTTAAATGAGCCATAGCCATAGACATGGCACCAATTTCTACCCACTTCCTTCTGACTCCACTCCACTCCCGACTCGTACTCGTATTTGCCTTTGCCTTTGCTTTGTTCACCCATTTTCAATTTGTTTTTTTTTTTTTCGCCAAAGGGGGTGGTGGTGGAGCTAGAGCTGTCACCGTTCTTGTCGACGGGTTTTTCACTATTTTTTAAGCCAATTTTCCCCCCTTTTTTTTCGTCGTTGCTGCCATGAAAAAGTGAGGGCATCGCTTGGCATTGCTGTGGCAGATGCGGGTGGATGAACGGCGGGCGGGGGAGGGCGGGGTTGGGATAGATAATGCTATCAAATTTAATGGGGCATCGTGAATGGTTTCATCTTGTAATATTCTTTAAGGTCCTCTAGATACAATTTGCTTTCATATTTTCTTAAAGGAAATTTTTCGTTTGTTTCAGTTTCTATACACTGTGAAAAAAATGTATATCAAAATATTTTAGACTTGATTTTTTATGTCTATAATTTTGCTATAAATAATATAAATATATTTTAAAAAAATTCGGAAATAATATATCGAAAAAGGGAATCTACAATTATTCAATTATTATTATTATTATAAATAAATAAATAATACAAATATATAATAAAATAATTATAAATAAATACAATAGCTATAAAGAAATAAAATAATTATAAATAAATAAAAAAGTTATAAATAAATAAAATAATTATAAATACATAAAATAATTATAAATAAATAAAATAATTGTAAATAAATAGAATATTTAAAAATAAATAAAATAATTATTGTGTTATACTATTATAATTAATTATTTTTTCGGTAATTGTTGTATTATATTATTAATTAAGTAATTACTTATTTTATTATATTATTATTAATTATTTGTTTATATTATTATTATTTATTTATTATAATTTATTGGTTTAATCTTATATTATTATATTACTAAATTATTATTATTTTATTACATTATTATTATTTTATTATATTACTATTATTATTATTTATTTATTATTACCTATTTTATTATATTATTTAAGTAATTATTGTAATATATTGCTGTTATTAATTTTTTTTAGTATTTTATTATATTACTATTTTGTATTTAATTTTGCATGTTATTATTATTATTATTATTTATTTATGTATTATTAATTATTTTATTATATTATTATTTTATAATATTTTAATATTTTTTATTATTAAATTATTATTATTATATTGACCGATCCCGTAGGTCAACGATTAATCCGCTATTATTATGAATATTATCCAACCAATATTCGCCTGTTGAAAATCCATAAACTTCGCCTAGAAAACACTCGTGGAAGTCCTTGCAAAATATATCAATATTTAATCAAATAACGGATTTTCGAACATTTCATGTAATTTTGACAAATGGGGCTTCAACCACTAGCACAAAAATATTTACGTATGTTGTAGAGTTTCCGTTCAGTTAATTTTACCAAAACCAATGTGCGGCCGAAAATCTTTAAATATTAAATTTAGTCCCTGATTTAAATGTGATTTGTTAGGCGATGATGGACAGAAGGATCTATGGGAATAGTTGAACATCTATTCCACACGAGGACGCTTTCGTTCGGGAGGATGGAGGGAAGTCGTGGAGTCGTCGGAATCGCCATCAAATTCGTCGCTTCGCTTCCGGTTCACCGGTTGTTCCAAGTCCTCGTCTAATGGCGGAAGATGTTGGATGGATTCGAGTACATGGATGTGTGGAAATAGTTACCAACGATGCTCGTAGTCGAGGGGTAAGGGGTAGGTGGTCTCCGCCGTTGGATAGCCCGTGGATAGTCTAGTGGTGGACGATGGTCGCTTAGCCGACGATTGTTGGCTGGAATGGATCTGTCCAAACACTCACCAGAAATACCATCCATCATGGGTTCTTCCAGAGTAATGTTCCCTGCACTGGCAGCTGTCTGGGCGAGTTTCTGCTGCACTAGCTTCTGCACTGTCAGCCCCGGAACTCGAGTCTTTGCCGAGTTCTTGGCCAGATCGTTGTACTTGCGCTTTGTCTCCTCCGACATTGTGCGCCACAGAGAGCTGGTTTTCCTGATCAGCCGCCTGGTCTGTCTGAGGGTTAAGCGCACCTTCCCCCCCTCCTCCAGGGCGGCCAGATGCAGTTCGTTTCTCAAATTTTGCCAGGGACGCGGCGATGCCACTTGGCTCAGCGACCGGTCTCTCTCCAGCTGAAAGTCCCCCCCGGCGGGACTCTTGGGGTCGGAAGAACCGGAGAAATATTTCACGAGCTTCCACAAAAAACTCATTTTAACAGACGAAAAATTATTGTTGTGCTCGTGTGTGTTTGAATGGAGTGTTTTTAGAGGAATGTGAATGTCTATATTATTTTATTCAAAAGTCTATGTGTGCTTGGGTCTTTAACTATTTAAAAAGGTTGGGACTACCGATGGGATTTTCTCTTTCTAGATCAGGTTTGTATAAAACCTAAAATCTAATTGGAAATCGATTAGGCCAGGGCCTGGGAAAGGATGCGAACTGACAGGACTACTGCCAGCAGAAGGGGAACCAGGGCCAGGGGACCTTTTGGAATTTTTGGTCTTTGTCCGATTCGATCACGTTTTTTTTTTAATTTGTAATATTTTTTTATACTTAAAAATAAATGATTACAGTAGAACTTCCATATAGCGAATCTCAAGGGTTACAAAATTCGTTATACAGAAAATGTTTAAAATAGAATTAGTAAAAAGAAAACCAGTTTTTTTTCTCCACAAAAACTTCAAAGACGTCAAAGGAAGCAATGCATTTTTAGGCACATTATTTCTCATCTCAAAAAAGGTACGCAGTCTCTTTTTATCGATTGTCAACGTTTGGGACTTTCCAAAATACGTTTTTACTTTGGTTTTTGGTAGAAAACCACAACTCAAATAATTTAAAAATATTTATATATTCCTTATAGCGAGATCCAAGGCGCAGAAGCATTCGAGTTAGGGACTTAGATAAAATTGCAGTAAAGAAATATTCGCTCTAAGGAGAGCAAAATGCACTGAAAATTTTACCAAATTGCAGTTTTTAGGAAATAAATTCGTTATACGTACGTATATTATTATATTATTACATTATTATTATACGAATAATTAACATTCAAGAAAAATGCAGACATAATGGATATATTCGTTATATATTCATTATAGAGACATTCCACTGTATACCCATTTTTCCTGAATTGTTCCTGAATATTAATTAATCCATTTAAATGCCAAATTTTTCCCACTTTTAAGAAGATTTAAAAACAAATTACACAGTTTCGATATATTATTTTATAACAATTTTTATTAAATATTATATAATTTTATTATATTATTTTTATTATTATATTAGTTTTTTTATTATATTAGTTTTCTTATTATATTATTTTCTTTTATTATATTATATATACATTTATATAAATACTGAAGTGCGCAATCAAACAAATAAACAAATCACCTTCGAGCCGAGTAGATTTTGATTATCCTCACTTGAAGCGATATTCCCCAGCTAATGAATTAAGGCACTAATTTCTAACAATTGCTCACATTAAAAAATCGACTCTATTATGATAAAGATATTGCACGGCGATCCCGAGGGTGCTGTTCCGCACAACAAGAGTATTCAAATTTCCTGTCCGGCCATCAGTCTGGGCTGCGGTTGGAAACTAGTAAAAACTCGGCAAAAAAAAAAACCCACAAAAAAACTAACAAAAAAAAAAGGGGAAACCGAAAAATGTTGGAAAAAATCGACTGAAACGATGATGGGATGTGGGGAGGGGGTTGGGGGTTGGGGGTTGGGGATGGGGACAGACTATGGCAAGTTTATTTATGCTTTGCGTGTCTGCCGTGAATTAGTGCCAAATTTGATTATCTATGGTTGCACACACACACACACACATCCATAGATCCATCCATAGATAGTTTCAGGGGGGAAAAGGGGGGTGGCAGGGACCCACATAACACGCCTGGCAATACGTCACGATGACTCCGGGAACAGTGCTGACAGACAGAGAGAGAGAGAGCCCTCCGGTACGTTCCTTCTTCCGGGTTTTGCCTCGACCCGCCCTCGCCCCGCCCTTGCCCCCCTCTCAAATTGATTTCTCTAATCAATTTTGAGAATTTATGGATTTTTTCAGCGCCCTTTGAGGGGGGAGGGGGGAAGGAAATGTAAACCAAAGTTGGAATATAATTTATAATTTCACCTGAACTTTTCATTTCAAACATTCGAAAACATCGAACGAACGGGTTGTGCGGCCACGCCCCCTCTAACCCATAGATTTTAATGTCATGAGCCACATGCCAAGCCGTAATTAGCCAACTTTCCTTTCCCTTTCCTTTTCCCCTTCCCCCTACCCCCTCTCCCACCCCCTGATGATGATGATGACGGTTTTGGCCGGGCTTTAAAGGTGTCCGTCCGCCCATCCGCCCGTCCGCCCTCCCTCTTTAAACGTAGCCACGGCAGAAGCGCTGGCTTATTGCGGAAAGTTGTAATGAAAAGTTTAACTAGTTTTTAATTAAAATAAAACTTAATGTTCGGTAATCATGTTTAACGTTTCAGCCCTGCATAGAAGTGCCGCCTGCCAGACAATCTTTGCACATAATTTAATTAAAAATTGCCCCGCTAAGGACAGGCTCTATCAAAGAGTTTATTTGTCAAAAATATCTGTATATTTGTGCGACTGATTAATGAACTGAACGCACAGCCGCCCAAAGGCATAAATGTTGAATGTTAATTAAACACAGCATCATCGTTTGTGTGTGTGCGTGTGTGATAATACGAACAAAATAAATGCAATATCATAAAAAATAAGTAAATAAATATTAAATGAATAATTACAAAATAAATAAATAAATATTAACTGAATAAATAAATATGAAATGAATAAATAAAAAATACAGGAATATTAAATTAATTATATATAAACAATAAATAAATCAATAAATTAATAATAAATAAATAAATACAAACCAAGCTAATACGTGAATAAATTATAAATGAATCATAATGAATAATAAAAATAATCATAATAAATAAAAAAAAAATATAAGTGAATAAATGAAAAATAAATAATAACAAACTAATAGATAAAAAATAAATAAGAAAAATTAATAATAATAAATGAAGGAATGAATAATAAAGATATAAATAATACATTAATAAATAAATAATAAATTAATAAATGAATAAATAATACATGAGTACATGAAAATAAATGAATAAATGATAAATAAATGAGGATTTAATAATAAATAAATAGATAATAGTTGAATAATTACTGAATAAAAAATAAATTAATAGTTAATAAAATATTAATGAATAATAATGAATGAATGATATATAAATCATAAATAAATAAGTATGAAAATACGAACAATATAAATATAATATAGTAAATAAATAAATAAAAAATAGACTATAAATAAATAATACCATAAATAAATAAAGAATAAATAATATAATAAATACAACAATAAATCAGATTACTCAAGAACCACTATTTTTCGATTCGTTTTCCAAAACTATTCTGAAATCTCTTTACAATGTTTCCCTGTCTTGAAAATTACAGTATGTATAGGCTCTTCTAAATCAGCACAATTTTTCCTGATTACCTCAGATGCGAACGTACGTCCGTAAAATTTTTCCACGAGTTTATTTTTACTTTCTCCCATAAAACACTTCATTTTTAATTAGCAAACAACTTAGTGGGTTTTTTAGCGAGACTTTGAGGCAAAACTTTTATCAAGAATTATCTTGCTTAAAGAAGAAAAAGGTAAAAGAAAATATGACTATAAAAATACCAAAACGGTGATCTATCTTTTGCTTATTTTAAAAGCTTTTCAGATCAAAGTCCAATAAGTTATAATAATATATAATTAAATTTTTAAAATAATATCCTGACAAAATTGTGTGGAAAGTATATGTTTTCATTGAGTTTTTAATTTGTTGGCCTCGGTTGATATTTAAACGGATATTCACATATTTTATTAGCCTCCTACTACCCTACTCTCTGGTAACTGGCTTTAAAGACTGGCTCTTTATTCATTCTCTTGCTCGGCAGTCTTTGTGGGGCTTAAGCACTGGAAACTATCGGCGGAATAAACGAGTCTATGTGTGTATTTATGTGAACGGAGCACCATACGAGTATCAATTGTGTTGATTCCTTATGATATGCATTAAACAGATCTCTGCTGTTTCACTTTATGGCCCATCCACCCCTCCACCCATCCATCCATCCACAATTCCATTGAATCTTGGATTGTGTGCTCGTATTGTGTGCTGAGCAGCCCAGGCCTATGCACAATGAGACCACAGGCTCACAATGTCTAAATCTTTATTAATTCTACTATTTCCGCCTTCCCGCCCCCTCCGTATAGGCCCCACCGTATGGCCATATGTCCATTTTGTGGGGCAAAGCAACTCGACAAATAAATTAATAGCTATCAATCAGTAAATCTGCCAAAGGACCTTTTTCCTTTGAATGGAAAAGTTCGTTTTTCCCCTCTCTCGTATGCATGTGTGTGGGTGTCCGTGTGTGTGTGTGTGTGTGTGTGTTTGTGAAGGAAGCGGACAAAAGCGCGCTATAAACGCACTCAATGAATGGCTAATATGACGAGTGCACGCGCTCTGAGTGTGGAGTGGTGGAGGGGGACGAAAGGGGGCCCGGAAAAACAAGGACCCATAGGAGTGGTAATTATACTAAAAAATTGGGAAACTAAAAGGAAAATCTTACGATATTGTTTGTTGTATTTATTTAAATATAATTTAAATCCCGTAGAATCCCGTGGAATCACGTAGTTACACTGCTGGTCAATAGGTTAGACGCAGCCATTCTTGCTTTAAAAATTGAATTATAGTTTTTTATTTTTAAAGAATTTAAGAAAAGAAAATATGCAGAAACCTTGGTTAATTCTTCCAGTATTTTATTCAAAAAATTTGAGAAATTCAGCAAAAAATTGTTTTTTTAACAGTTTTTTTCTTTATTTTTTTTTATTTTTTTTAAAATTTTTTTAAATTTTTTTTATATTTTATTTTTATTTTTAATTTTTTTTTATTTTTTTTATTTTTTTTCTTTTATTTTTTTATTTATTTATTTATTTTTTTTCTTTATATTTTTTTCTTTTCTTTTCTTTATTTATTTTTTTTCTATTTTTCTTTATTTTTTTTCTTTTTATTGGTCTCTAGAATAACCTCTAGAATAAAGCACCAAAACAAATTAATTTTTTAAAGGAAAAGTTACTTATATTAAAATTAATTTTTGGAAAAAAGAAAAAAATTAATTCTACTTTGCTGGCGGA